TTCACTGGATATAACAAACTTTTATAATAAAACACTATATAACGCATCCAACCTGAACTTAACCAGCCCCTATATATTTTTTTTATTTATTTATTTTATTTTATGTGAAGCAGGTAGGAATTACATATAAGAGCATCTAGCAACACTACAAAGTGAAGAATCCGCCTGAAAAAAACCTATCATCGAAAACCAGAGAAGCTGGCACTTGACCCTAACTTCCTGAAAAAAAGACCTATCTACAAGCAAATACACTGGGTAAAAAAAACAAAAGTGGAGAGGACAAGTCCCCTTTCCAAGAAATTGTGGTACGACTAAAGTTGCTGGAGAAACTAAAGGGTTTAGGCAAGTTGGCGAAATGCTGAAATGGCGAAACTTTGCCAAAACTATATGAAAGTCTTATTAAAAAGTTGGCAAAACTCTGGAGAAAAGCGAAACCTGACGAAACTTATTATAAATGCCAAAACTGCTGAAATCTTGCCGAAACTATAATAAAACTATAGTAAAATCTTGGAGAAACTAATCATAGAATTTTGGAGAGGTTTAGGCAGGCAACCTTAGATATGACACATAAATAATTCTGCTATACTAATATCAAGTACAAATTAGTAGAAATAACTAAATTCTATTAAGACTAAACTAATTTTTGTAATAATTCTAAAATTTGCCCTTCGCCTTCCTGTTCAAATTGTCTGATATCTCAGATCCTTATGTTTTCTGGCCCAGGGGCTTCTTCAACTTGTTACTTGTATTATGAGGTTTAGTCAAGGGCACTTTCTTTAGGTTAGGTGTAAAGTATTAACACCAAGACAACCTGATCCCTTCTGAGCTCAAAACTTGATGGTAATCTAAGACCTTGCGTATGGCCTCCCATATCTTGAAATATCCAACAAGCTTCCTTTTACCTTTACCTGTTTGTATGTAAATAGTAGGTTTTCAGCCATTTCACAAGGTGCATGTAGTAACTTCCTCTGAAATGTTGTAAACTACGGCTTGGAATTTCTCTCTTTGTTCTCATTTGTGGAGACTCCAATTTGCGGGAAACCATCACACTGGTATACTTCCTAAATCTGTAGCCCAATTATTATTAAACTGCGGCAAGGAAAATGAGGACAATGCTATTTTTACTCTAAGGGTTTGATATTTGTGCTGTCTTTTTATTGAAAGCTTAATAGGGTTGCCCAAAGTTTAAGTTCCTATCTTTTCAGCGGACCAGGTATATGGAATGTCATATACTATTATGTCACAGATGCACTCCTGTTCTTCTGGACTTGATACTTCATGTTCTGTCAGTACTTCAATTACAGTGGGTATGGATAAATTGTTAGCCGGTGATTTCTTCTTCTGGTAATTTTTACCTTTTGATGTTGATTGGTTTATAACTTGTTTATCATCTGTAGCACGCATGGATTTATTATTGTGTTTCTTATTATTAACCCAATCATACTTGTCTGATCGCCCATAACTTCTTACCTGCATTGATTAGGTCATTAAATGCTGTATCTTGTGTTTCTTTCCAAGAATTTTTTTGGTTCTAGAATAGATTCTGGAATAGGTTGCTCAGGAGATTCAGATTTTGTGGAAGATTCTGCAGGAGACTCAGGCTGTTGCTCGGAAGTTAGATCTGCAGTTGTTGAATCCAAGTCAGATAGCATGTCTTCTAAGACATTGTAGTCATCATCTGCTTCAAATGTGAGTTTCTCTGCAGGTGGGTTTTCTTTCTGGTGTCTGATTCAGTAACTAAGTCTTTCTCTTCTCTTAACTCTTATAGGTATTCTTTTTAAGTGTTTAGGTTTGGGCAGAAGTAATGGAAGAGCCTTTTAAGACCTTCTTGGGAGCTGAATTTGCATTCAAGTTTCTGTAGAGCAGGTTGTGTTATGCCGATTTTGGATATTTCTAGTGGATCCTTAGTCCAAGGCTTTGGTCAATTCCTTTTCGTCTGTTTTGTGGTTCCAGTTTTTGCCAAAGAACTTTTTGTATAGATCTTCTGGATATGCTATGTTATTTTACCTATACATATTTTTTTACTTTTTATACCTAACTCATTTGATATAGTTCTAGAAGTGTTAATCTTTGATAAGGGTGAATATGATGGGTCTTACAGTAACCAGTATATACCTTGTAGAATTTCTGAACAGGTAGTTCATATATAAGATGTTCTGCTATAAGGTATTGGTCTGATATGCTTCTGTTTGGATGTTGTCATGGGTGGCGGATTCCCATTGAAGTCTGGGTACGCATCTATGATAGTTCTCAAGTATGCATTGAATGTCTTACTGGCGCCTGAGTCACCACATCTAAAAATACTGTATGCTTATCATCATTCTCCACTCTGAAAGTATTTCATTGGTTAAGACAATTGTAGACATAAAGTTCTTGTACTGTGTTGGCATCTTGTATTTCTTGTAGATTTCCATTGTGTCACTTGTTACCTTACTCGACTAAAGATCATTCTGGAAAAAAAAAGGCTCTTTCCAGTAATGTGAAATCAAAGAAGAAGGATGATAAATCCTTGACCAAAGCTCCTAATACAAGTAACAAGTTGAAGCAAACAAGGAGGTTTTGGCAAAAATTTTAGAATTATTACAAAAATTAGTTTAGTCTTAATAGAATTTAGTTATTTCTACTAATTTGTAGCATAGCAGAATTATTTATATGTTGTACTACAATTTGTAGTGTTGTTAGATGCTCTTATATGTATTCCCTACCTGCTTCACATAAAATAAATAAATAAATAAAGTTGTCAGTTAAACGGCAACACAAATATTAGACTCTCCTGATAATAGTAAGTGTCTATTATGATATGATATTCATTAATCATTTTACTAATTGAATTTTGCTTTATAGTTGATGATTTTAATGATTCAAGTAATTGGAAAAATAATAGTACATCAAAAATGAGTAGTATTGAAGGTACTAATTTTACTAATATTAGATCTTTTAAAATTAAGCATTAATTTATATCTTAAACTTTTTTAGCTAATAGTAAAGACGCTTAATAAGTTCAAGTTTTAGATACATATATTAGTTTTATTATACTCACGTATTATTTTAGCTTTTATTTGTACTAGTCTTGATTTACTACTCTTGATGAAATAAAATAAAAATAAAATCAATTGTTTTATTTTTTTATTTTTTATTTACAGTGGCTCACAAAAGTAACGCACCATACCAATACCAAACGTTAAATCATATGTTTATCAATCACATGATCATATATAAATAGGATATTTATTATATATATAATATACTTTAAGGTCATTAAAATATATTAATCTCAAATAATATTTAATAAACTAGCTTTGCTTTATTTGCATGATAATTATTAAAATTGTGGTGCGTTATTTATGTGCGTTTAGCACCATTATAAAAATTAATTTTTTTTTAAAAAAAAAAATTAAAAAACTATTACTAAAAATTTATAAAAATGTTTTTTACCATCGCATATAACCTTCTTTGGCATTAATGATATCTTGTATTCTTTCTAGGGATGGCAACGGTCGGTTATAGTCGGTCATCGGTCGGTCATGACTGGTCAAGAACCTTTGACCGACCGACCGACCGTTTGACTGACCGTTTGACTGATCATTTTTTTATATTTTCACAGCATTTTTATTAAGGAAATTGAAAAACGTGCGAAAACATTTTTTTTATTAAATTATTAATAAAAAACGTTTTCACAACATTTCTATTAAAATAATTAAAAAAACCTTGCGAAACATTTTATTTTAATTAAATTACTAATAAAAACGTTTTCGCAACGTTTTTTGTTAAAATAATTAAAACCGTTTGCGAAAAACGTTTTTTTAAATTAAATTATTAATAAAAAACATTTTCGCAACATTTTTTATTAAATTGACGACTCTTTCCCGAATACATTTTTTTACGAAAATTTCTGCGTAATAATTTTTTTAAAAATAATCTCCTTTATTAAATTTTATTACATAAATATAAAAAATGTCTATAGATAAAAGACGAACACCTAACGGAGCAGCTATAGACTTCGTTTCTGAATTTCAAGATACTTTTTTTGAAACAATATCACAACACTTAGGTACCTTTATACAGGACGGTTTCCTTAAAGACCTATATGAAAAAAAGCCTACTAAACCTGTAGATAAAGCCCAGATGTTAATAGATAGGTTTGGCGAGTCAGCCAACCCTCAGAAATTTATAGAACAAGCCCGTTCTCTGAATATACAACCGACCACCCTTTCACTTATTTTTTCTATAGCCCTTTCCGCAGCGTCCAGGTCATGGGATAATTTTACTACTCACTTCTATATGGAATTTGGCAATATGGGCGATGAGGTTGAACCTGATTTTTTCGATGAATCAGATGATGAACGGAATGAAGCTGAATTAGGCTCTCGGCTGAGCGAATTGTATTCACAAACACCAAATCCAGTACTTGAAATGCCTCCAACACTGCCAGATGTGGAAATGACCTCTGTTGATCAACCTGTCACACCCAAAACTTCCCGGAAGAAAGATAAACAAAAAGTGCGTGTTACAGGTGATAAACAAGTCAAGAACCAATCAACAACGGCAAAACCTGATGCAAAAACATCAGCCAAAAATTCCAAAAAGGAGAAGAAATCATCCGATACCGAGGTTACTTAAATACTGACTGGATACGAAGCTGTCAGAGATGAGCAAGAGCGAATCTGAGACATAATAGTTTACGATATCCCGTATACCTGGGACCTGCCGAAAATATTAGCAGAGTTAAAATTTTGGGGGAACGCTATTAAATGTTCCGTTAAACGGCAACATAAGTATCAGACTCTTTGAGTCAAAATAGCTCTATCCTCCTTTTCCCTTCCCCAGTTAACAAATATTGGACGACAGACCTGTGAGGTATACCTGTGAGATGGTTCCCCGCAAGTTGGACCTTACGAGAAAGAAAGCAATGTGAAAAGTTCCAAGCCGTCATTCATGACATTCCGGAGGATATGACGATGGCTACCTTGTGAACGGACCGTAAACCATGTACTTTTTTAATGCAAAGTGGTGCCAGCGCATTTAAAGTCATTCAAACAAGTAAAGGAAAAAGAAAACTGGTTGGTTACTTCGAGAATTGGGAGACCACACTCAAGGCCTTAGATTCACCGCCAGTTACTTTGCCCTTGGGTAAAGAGTTGAAATAGTGTCGACATTCCATTCCTACCTTGAAGAAAGCACGTAAACCGAAGACTAAAAATACCCCGAGCAAGAAATCATCTGGTAATACAGGTAAAGCCTCGGTCAGTAATCAGTCTAAGAAGAAGGATCAAGTTCCGTCCTTGACCTTAAATAAGAAGAATGAAAACAAGTTGAAGGTTCCACCTGCTCAGAAGAAGGCAAAGAATAACTCGATGAGCAAAGACCGTGATAAAAGTAACCAAGTGGTTTTAGCAGAGATTTTATCCCTTTTACGTAGACTAGTATAGTCGTTTCTTTTTCTTCTTATTAGAATTTTAGCATTTTAGGGCTAAGTTACCTTAGTACTAGGATGTCCTAATCCTTTTTTTTCCGTTTTTATCTACTCTAACTCGGTTGTGTTTTAGAGTAGCTAGTTTTTTACAAAAATCCTAGTCAGGGTTTGCTTTTTAGCAGACGAAGTTTTATATTGTGTTTTATATAGTTTTATACTAGCTCTAATTAATCAATGTAATTCTCCTGGCTCGCCTTAAAATAAAATAAAATAAAATACATTTTTTATTAAATTTTTCATAAAAAAATTTGGTTGGTCAAACGGTTGGTCAAACGGTCAGTCAAATGGTCTGTCAGAAGTCTTGACCAACTGATATCAGTCACGGTCATGACCAGTCATAATCGGTTAATGACCATGACCGTCTTTCTGGCATTATTTCTATTAACTTAGTACATGTCTCTATTCCAAACTTGAGAAATATACTCCCACAAAGCATCTCTTCTTCTAATTATATTATTTGACGCCCTGAGTCAAATATCTACATCATTCCAAAGATGTTCAATTGGGTTTAAGTCAGGGGATTGCGCTGGCTACGGTAACTGGAAGATAACATCTGAAACATCTAATTCATAGTATCGCAGGGTCTCCATAAAGTCTTCACTTAATATTTTGCAATGAAGTTCCGCGTTGAGCCCTCCTTTAAGAAACCTATACCGCGTGAGGTGAAACAACCCTATACAAAAATGCTTCTGCCACCAAACTTTACTGTAGGTTTAATGTGAGCATCTTTGAGCAGTTCTCCTTACTTCCTCCAACAGTATTCACGTCCATCAGAGCCAAATATTTGGAATTTTGAAAACTACCCTACTCCAGTCTTGTACAATCCAATCCTTAAATCTCTTAGCAAAATCAAGCCTCTTTTTGCGATGTTTTTTGGATAGAAGAGGTTTTTTATGTTTTGCTCTCGCAGCAGAACCATTTTTTCTTAATACTCTAGGTATAGTCTCAGCGCTAACCTCGATATCTTCATTAACTTGTATAGATTTTGTTAATAAAACAGTGGTTGTACACTCTCCTGTCAATAAGCATCTTATAACAGTACGTTCATTACGTTCGTTTAACTTGGGTGGTCAGCCTGAATGCTGTTTATCTTTAACATTACCAGTTTTCTCATATTTCTTTTTAAGTCTTAGTATCACTCAGTGGACATGTCACATAACATATCAATCACTAATTAAAAAATTGTACCACAAAAATGATCTGCACAAAGTGATGTAATATATGTAAGACTCTTTCCCGAATACATTTTTTACGAAAATTTCTGCGTATTAATTTTTTTTAAAAAATAATCCCTTTTATTAAATTTTATTACATAAATATAAAAAATGTCTATGAATAAGAGCCGAACACCAAACGAAGAAACTTTAAACTTCGTTTCCAAGTTTAATGAAATTTATTTTCAAACTTTTACACACCACTTAAGTTCTTTTGTACAGGACGGTTTCCTCAAGGACTTATTTGAAAAGAACCCCTCAGTACCTAAGGATAAAGCCCAGTAACTGATACAGAAGTATGGCGACACAGCCAACCCTGTGAACTTCACTTCACAAGCTCAAGCTACGAATATACGACCCACCACCCTTTTGCTAATATTTTCTATAGCGCTATATGCTGCGTCCAGGTCTTGGGAAAATTTTTCACACCAATTCCTTTGCAATTTTGGCAATATGGGTGTTGATGATGATGACGACGATGCAGAATCTCAGAATACTGATGATTATCTAATGGATGCGTCACCTTTTTTTGAGCAAGATGTAGATGATCTAATACGCCAAGGATTCCAAAAACCACCAAATCCAGTACTTATAAAGCTTCCATCAATGCCTGATATAGTAATGACCCTGTTGATCAAACTGTAATACCTGAAAATTCCTGGAAGAAAGATAAACAAAAGGCGCGTGTTACAGATGATAAACAAATCAAGAACCAATCAACGAAGGCAAAACCTGATGTGAAAACATCAGCCAAAAATTCCCAAAAGAGAAAAAAATCATCCGAACTGGAAGCTACACAGATACTGACAGGATATGAAGCTGTCGGAGAGGAGCAAGAGCGAATCTGAAACATAATAGTTTACAATATCCTGTATACCTGGGACCTGCAGAAAATATTAGCAGAGTTAAAACTTTGGGGGAACGCTATTAAATGTTCCGTTAAATGGCAACATAAGTATCAGACTCTTAGAGCCAAGATAGCACTTTCCTCCTTTGCCCTTCCCCAGTTTAATAAATATTGGACGACAGACCTGGGAGGTATGCCCGTCAGATAGTTCCCTGCAAGTTGGACTTTACGAGAAAGAAAACAACGTGAGAAGTTCCAAGCCATTATTCATGACATTCCGGAGGATATGATGATGGCTACCTTGTGGACGGACTGTAAACCAGGTGAATTTTTAATGAAGTGCGGTGCTAGCTCATTTAAAGTAATTCAAACAAGTAAAGGAAGGAGGAAACTTGTGGCCTATTTCGAGAATTGGGAGACCATACTAAGGGCCTTAGATACGCCACAGTTTTTCGTACCTAACGGTAAGGAGTTGAAATGGTGTCGACACTCCATCCCTATCTTAAAGAAAGTACAAAGTAAACCGAAGGCTAAAAATACACCGAATACGAAAAAGTCAGGTAGTCTGACAAAAATTTGGACAGTAATCAGCCTAAGAAGAAGGATAAACCTGCATCCTCGAAAAAAGTCCCTAAAAATAATAACCAGGAGGAGAAGTACCCGAATACTCAGAAGAAGGCAAAGAAATCCTCGAAGAAAAAGGGTAATAATAAAGATAACAAGGCGGTTTTAGCAGAAATTTTAACTTTATTACAGAAACTAGTTTAGCCTATACTTTGATTAGCGGTTTTACAAATTTCAGAATTGTATTATTTTTAGGATAGAATATATTTATGTGTTGTACCATAATTTCTTGGAAAGAGGACTTGTCCTCTCCACTTTTTTTCCCCCACCTTTTTTTTACTCAGTGTGTTCGCCTGGATTATTATCGGACATGGTAGTAGTGCAGGTCTTTTTTTTCAGGAAGTTCGGGTCAGCTTCCAGTGTTGATGGTAGGATTCGGTTAGGTGGTACTATATTATAGTCATGCCTTTGTAAAATTCTCTCCCTACTTCACATAAAATAAATATATAAATAAAGATCTGCACAAAGTCACAAATGTTTTGAAGTTTTCTCTTAAGTAAAGCCTTTTCAGACATTAGTAAACTTTTATTCTTCAGGTTCTTACCTACTCGTTTCAACCTTTTATTTAACAAAATAACGCTTATTTGAGAAGTTTATATTAGGCTAACTTTTCCTACTTTTTTGACTTCAACCCCAGATGCAAGTTTGTATGAAAACTAAATATTATTTAAAGTACTTAAATACATGTAAATTTTTATAAGGAATCGAAATGCTTAATAAGTAAAAGGTTGGTTTGATAATAAAATATTTATTAAATCCATGATTTTTGATTTTTTCTGTAGTTTGTCTATATTAACATTGCAAAAATTACATGTATAAATTTAATTTTAATAGCATAAAAAGAATATTTGACGTATATTACATACTGTAATCAAATAATAAATAAATATTTTTCAAATTTATATATTAAATAAAATGTAACAGTCATCATTAATAAAAATTTTTCAATATGTATTCAATTTCAATAAAAATTGTCTCACAAAGACTTTAAAATATTTTGAATTTATGTGCAAAATTTCAGTATATATTATTATGTGAGATAGAGTAAAAATTTACTGTTATACAAATTTCATAGTAAAAAAGTCCCTATGCCGATCCGTGACATGACCGGTGTTTGGTATGGTTGTATGATTTATGACTTCCACAGCCAATTTTGGCAGCAATTTCTTTTGAAGCAAATCCACATTCAATCATCATAATTACCTGTGCTCTTTGTTTTATAGTGATTTTGGTCTTTAGTTTATAAACAAAAAATATATAATTTCGAAAAGTTTTTGTAAGTATATAAGTATTTTATTAATATTACATTATCATTAATTATAAAAAAAAAAATTTTACTAATAAAGACTTTTCTTAATAAAAATGGTCAAAAGTAACGCACCATGATTTGGAGGAAAAATAACGTAATAGAGTTTTTTTATTACACAAGAAAGGAGTAGGTATTTATATGTTAAAGATCTACATCTATATTGTTTATTTTGAAAATATTAGATTAAACGGATTTGTTTTGATCGATAAATACATGATTTATCATTTTAAAAAGTTTGGTGCATTTTTTTTGTGAGCCACTGTATTTTCAGTTATTTTAATTTTTGTAAAAATTATAAGAAATTAAAAAATTTATTGAATGGCATAAAAAACTTTTGAAATATTAAGAAATTTTAGACCATCTTATGATTTTCAATTTGAAAATTTGATATTTTGAATTTTCAAGAATTAGTAAAAAAACAAGTTTAAATACCTATTTTGGTAATAACTTTAACTCCTTAAAATTAATATAGATTTTAAAGTAATTTATTTATATTGAATTATATGATATATTTCTATTTTTATTTAATGAGTTGAATAAACAGGTTTGTAACTTGATTTTTTACTGGTTTTTAAAAAATTCAAAATATCAAATTTTCAAATTAAAAAATCATAGGGTGGTCTTACAATTTTGCAATCAGCTATAATAAGTCATATATTCAAAATTGTATAACCAAAAATTTTTATTTGTATAACAATAATGATTTTTAGGGTGCTGTCAGATATTACCTAATATTTTATGGGGAGGGGGATAACTAAAGATCTTAGGTTACATACAATATTATATAAGGAATTATATATATAACATATCTTACCTAAGGGGTAAGCTCTTATATTAAAGTGATATTAGGTAATATCTGACAGTGCCCTTATTATAAGTAAGATTTTCATTTTGTATAATGTATATTAGAATTTTTTTTATATACATTTAAAATTTTTTAAAGTTTTTTTTATTTTTTGTTTAAGAAATTTTTAAGATATTTTTTAGTAAAGTAGAAATTGTTTTTTGTTTGAGAAGTTTTTAAGGGTTCGTTTAAAGAAATTTTTTTAAAATTCATTTACAAAATTAAAAAAAATACATTTTATCACATATCTCAGCATTCAGTAAAGAAATGAAACACAGCTTATTAGATTCGTCTCAATACGATGAGTCAAATGGTGGTAGTTTCATATTTCTAGGTGCAATAGATGCCGAGTTATGTGATAAAATGTAAAATGCATAGTAGATGAAAATACAAATTGCCGATGTGTGGTATAGCTTAATATCTATCACAAGCTGTGTTCCATCATTTTACGATCACTGAGTGATGAAATATATAACAAAATGTATTTTCTTTTATTTTGTAGTATACATCCAAATTTTTGTATAAAACTTACTATATTATACATATTGGGCATCAATATCTATAAGGTATTTATAAAAATTTTATTTAAGTTATTTTTTAATAATTTTTTTTAAGAAAATTTTACAGCAGATTGCAAAATTGTAAGACCACCCTATGATTTTCAATTTGAAAAATTTGATATTTTGAATTTTTCAAGAATTAGTAAAAAGTAATAACTTTAACTCCTTAAAATTAATATATATTTTAAAGTAATTTATTTATATTGAATCATACTATTTTTATTTAAGGAGTTGAATAAACAGGTTTTTAACTTGATTTTTTACTGGTTTTTAAAAATTCAAAATATCAAATTTTCAAATTAAAAAATCATAGGGTGGTCTTACAATTTTGCAATCTGCTGTAATAATATTTATTTTGAAATTTTTCTTTAAAAATTTTTTTTTTATATAAACTCAGATTCATAATTGTATAATTTATAATAAAATTTGAACTTATGTAATGATTTTGTATAAATCTTCTAATAAAATTAGGCATATAAAGTTATATTACAATTTTGGGTCTGGATCTGAGTTGTATATGTATTCTTTGGGGTCTTGTATGGATGAGGTACTTTGCAGAATGGATCGCATCACAAGCAGAACCAAGAAGTGGATCCATTAGTAAAGCAGAACAAGTCGAGTAAACAGAAACAGGAGGAGGATTCTTTGCAAAACATAAAACCAAACAGTTTGCCAAAGCTATGGAAAAGGATCTGGATAGTACAGCGAAACTAACCTTGTTAGCAGAAATCAAGTTCTTACTTAATAAGATAGTCAACTGATGGGATGCCTGGGCTATTCTGGTGAGCTATAGGCAGGGCTAATAGAACACTATAGTAGTTACTCATTATTCAATTTTACTAATTCCCTTTTTTTATTTCTTTATTTTTTACCCTGGCTTTTTTTGTTGAACTCCTTTTATTTTTTTTTGGTCCTGAGTTTTGTGTTGCAGTTACAGTGAATCTTGTTGGGTGCTCATAGGACAAAGACCTGGAGGAGGGAATCCCTTCTAAGAAAGGACATTTTCTAAAGTGGACTTACTCCACTAGTCCAGAGTTTCAATCTGACAGTATACATATAATTGCCCTGAGTAGTGAATGGATGGTTTAGTTCCTAATAATGTTAGATTTTATTTTTATTTATGTAATCTCAATGTAATAGTTAGGCATAATTTTCTAATAAAGGTCCCAAATGTGCTACAGCCAAAAAAATAAAAAAACAAAATATTTTTATATTATTTTTTTAAAATTTGCATTAAATATATTTGATAAGATAAATATAAAAAAATAGATAAGTTATTAGATAAGTTGATCAGTAAATAGCAGATATTAAATATATATTTAAAACTAATGATTATTCAAATCAATAGCCCATAAAAATTAGTTTACAAGAAAAGATATATCCTGATATGTATAGTTGCCACTAAAATTATTAATACAGTTACGTTATGCATATACTATAATCACAAAAACTGTAAACTGTAATTGCCATAATGCTATAATGTGTAATATGCCGTAAATAAATAAGACTAAATTTATTATGTGACATTACACTAATTTTCAAAAAGAAAATTTTATCTCTCATTATGGTTTATTTCAAATAATGGAAAATCATTTTTAGAGAATGTAAATTTTTAGCTTGAACAATTTGTTGAGAATAGTTTCCTAAAAACTTTATTTAATAAGAATCCACAAGCTATGGACAAAGCAACGCTTCTAATAGATATATTTAGTGAGTCTGCCAACCCAAATAACTTTGCTTTTCAGTCACAGGTGATGAATATAAAACTTACCACCATTTAATTTTACTACCTGCTTTGTAGCTGAAAATTTTAATTAATTAGGCAAAATTTTTTTATTATTTTTTTGACTGAGGACTCTTGTTAAGATTATGCTTTGGTAGAGTAAAATAGGGTTCTGTAAAGATGTAACTTGAGTTGCGGCCAGGCCTGCACACCTTTATGCGATGAGACTGTGCAACTACCTTAAAGCTTCTTTCCTGGTGATTGGATTAATTCTGTTTATAGTTAATTTTTTCATTTCATATTTTTTATGTAACTTTCTTCTGGATAGAATAATGGTCATTTATATTAAAAATAAAAATAAAAATAAAATACTAAAATGTAACACCAAAAATGTAGTAAAAAAAAATGTAATGCTAAAAAAAAAAGTACTAAAAAATGTCAATTTATTCAAAAGTTAATTAACAATGTGAATTTTGAAAAGTCATTAACTTTAATTCTTTTCAAAGGAAAATGGGCTAAAGAGAATATTTGAGAGCACAGACTTGTGAAATAGTCATGAATAATTGTCCCTTCCAACTATATCTAATTGGTAAAACTGGTACAAGCCTTTTACCTTCTTCAGTAACAATAGCTGGCACAAAATAGTTGACAAATTCTATTAAAATAGCAATAGGAAATAAAGAAGGTGGCTGGTTTTCTTTAAAATATGATTTCTTGGATAATACCCACTGATCTATTAGCCAAACCAACTTCTATCCATAAGTTAATCCTAAGTATAATTCTTTCTCCTCATGCAATAATAATTGAGCCTTGAGTTCTTATTCACCTCTTTACTTCCTGTATGAATAGCTTTGATTAGAGCAACAGAACAATTTAATGATTTAAGCTTATTAATATTAAATTTAGCAATATCGTACTTTTGAGGTATAAAACATATGGCATCTGAGAACATATATTTGCAATAATATGGCTCTAAACTTGTACTGTACATCTGATTCACCTGACTGACATTGAGCTTATAGATTTCACAGAACTGTCTATATGTCTAGATACTGTCAGAGAAAAAACTCTTTCCCAAAATTCTTTTTTTACGAAAATTTCTATGTAATAATTTTTTTTTAAAAAATAATCCCTTTATTAAATTTTATTACACTTTTAAAAATAATAAAAATGAATAAGGAAATGAGTAGAATAAAACGATACGAAGAAGCTGTAGACTTCGTTTCAAACTTTAACGATATATTTTATCAAAATATTTCACACACTTTAGGTTCTCATATCGAAGACGGTTTCCTCAAAGACCTATTTACCAAGAACCAGTTAAAGACTGTAGATAAAAGACAGTTATTGATAGAGAGGTTTAGCGAAACTACCGACCCTGAGAACTTTGCTGCACAAGCTCAAGCTACGAACATACAACCCACCACCCTTTCGCTAATATTTTCTATAGTGTTACATGCTTCGTCCAAGTCATGGGAAAATTTTATGGCCCATTACTTTCTCAAATTTGGCGATTTGGGTGATGATATATCTGATGAAATGGATAGTTTATCAGAGGATGATCCTGATGCAATGGAATTTCAACGTCAGCTTGACGAATTAAGGAAGAGATCATCAAAACCAGTAGTTGAAACGCCTCCAATACTGCCAGATGTGGACATGACCCTGTCGATCAAACTGTGATACCTGAAATTTCCCAGAAGAAAGATAAACAAAAGGCGCGTGTTACAGATGATAAACAAGTCAAGAACCAATCAATAACGGCAAAACCTGATGCCAAAACGCCAGCAAAAAATTCCCAAAAGGAAAAGAATTTATCTGTACCTGAGGCCACTCAAATACTGATAGGATACGAAGCTGTCAGAGAGGAACTAGAGCGAATACGAGACATAATAGTTTACGATATCCCATATACCTAGGACCTGCAGAAGATTATAGCAGAGTTAAAGCTTTGGGTAATACTATCAAATGTTCTATTAAAACATAAGTATCAGACTCTTCGAGTCAAGATAGCACTATCTTCATTTGCCCTTCCCAGTTTAACAAATATTGGACAACGGACCTGGAAGGTATACCAGTTATATGGTTCCCCACAAGTTGGACTTTACGAGAAAGAAAACAACATGAAAAGTTCCAAGCTGTCATTCACAACATTCCGAAGGATATGACGATGGCTACCTTGTGGATGGACCGTAAACCATGTGAATTTTTAATGAAGTGCAGTGCCAGCTCATTTAAAATTATTCAAACAAGCAAAGGAAGGAGGAAACTTGTGGCCTATTTTGAGAATTGGGAGACCACACTAAGGGCCTTAGATACGCCACAGTTTTTCTTATCTAAAGATAAGGAGTTAAAATGGTGTCGACACTCTATTCCTATCTTGAAGAAGAAAGCACAATCTAAACCGAAGGCTAAAAATACCCCAGACAAGAAAAAACCTAAAGTAGGTAAAGTCTCAGATAGTAATCAGCCTAAGAAGAAGGATAAAGTTTCGTCCTCGAAAAATACCAAGCAAAATAATAATCGATTGAAAACTCCAAACGTTCAGAAGAAGACAAAGAATCTCTCGAAGAACACAGATCGTGACAAGGATAACAAGGAGGTTTTAGCAGAAATTTTGTCCCTGCTGCGTAAGTTAGTTTAGTCTTTCGTTAGATTAGTTCTAATATGTATTATTTTGTTAGGTAGAAATTTTTGCGTTACCTTTCGCTGGAATACTCTTTTCTTATTCCTATTCTATAATGGTAGTGTTATAGAATAGTTTTTTTTTAAAATTCTAGTCAGGGTCTGATTTTTTTTGGGCGAAGTTTATTATTGTATATTCGTTACAACTATTTGTTGAATTTTAATTATCAATGATATCCTCTTGGCTTACCTTAAAATAAAATAAAATAAAATGTCTAGATACTATCATTTGACAATGGATTTTCTTGAGAAATTTTTGAATACATTAGTCTATTGTGTACTGGTAGAAGCTGACCAAAATCTCTGACCAAGATTATTGAGCATCTACTAAAGAGGACCCTATACATCACATATACAACTCAGAGGTTGACTTTTTGAAAAATATGGCATAGCGCCTTTATCTTTATTAATTTATTAGAAACATTTACAATTAAACAAAATACAATAAAAGAAATAATAAAAAAATGAACTAACTAAAAATAAAGCTACCGTAAAGTCTCAATTATAAGCAACCTTTTTTGTTATAGAATGTGCTTATATTTGGGTAAATTTATATATTTGGTACATTGTAGTATTGGCATAGTGTTGGTTTAAGGGTGCTTTCAGGTAATATTTTTAAAATCTGGGATGCTTATATTTGGGGGTGTTTATATTCAGGACTTTACAGTATATAGTATATTTCAAGCATAGTAGATGCAACTATACTAATCAGACAATGAAAAGTGCATCCATTATAAAAATTGTTACCCAGTTTTGCTAAGAAAGCAGTTATTCAATAGCACCATTAGACAACCCAGAAAACCTGAAAAGTGATATTGACATTCACTTGCCAATCTTGGAGCTGCAATCAATCATGAGGTTCAGGATCATGTAAGTACATATCTTTTGTGACCTCTTTTGGATAACCATATTTTTACCTGCGTGATCTATACAAAGACAATGCATAGGATTATATCTAATATGATGCTGCAGTTATACTTAATTCTTTAGGACGTTTTTTACAAGGATGGGATGTTGAGCAGGTACAAGTGCGTCACAATTAGCGTATTATATTATAGCGAGAATAAAGGAATTGTTAAATTTGATAAGACAAATAGGAACAGATGGGCCAATATTTTTTTACCTTTAGTGCCATAGATATGTATTGGCCTGAATTACACAAACTGATGGAAAATAATGATCATAATGGAGATGAGGCTGAATCATCCAAATGTCAGTAATAGAACATAATTGATAATCCACCATCACAATGTGGTTTTTTAAACAAAGATTTAAAACTTTCTTTAATGATGTGTTAGACTATTGGTACTGATACGAGTGGCAGCAAGGGGAAGTAATAAGGATGAAATGAATAATGTAATTCAATATTTTGATTAAAATATCCATGTCAGAAGGGAGCAGAAGAAATAAACGATGATTTACAAGACTATGTTGAATTGATAAATGACATACCAAATGTAGTCTCTCATATTATTTAAGTCAAATACAGACAACAGATTTGTAGATAAGGATACTCAAAAGAGAGAAATGATCATTCATTTATACGCAAGGATAATCATGGACAACCTGAATTAGTGACATCAAGGAACAACCCATATCTAAACCCGCACAACAGGTTGCAATTGCAAGGTTGGCAAGCAAATGTTGATATCAAACCTGTCCTCACTATACCTCGTCTTCTATCTCTACTTCTGCCTTGTCTTCTATCTCTACTTCAAAACTCTTTCTCCTTTTCATTTTTACAAAAAATTCTGCAAAAATTTTTTTTTAAATTTTTTCACTTTATTTAAAATTTTTTATATAAAATAAAAATGTTGAATATAGGAGACTTAGTTAGAAAGAAGAATTGCGCAGAAGACTTTTAAAGTTTATCTCGTATAATGGATACCAATATTTACATAAAGTTACTGCAGAGCTCGGTTCGTTTGTAGAAAATGGTTTCCTTAAAACTTTATTTGATAAGAGTCCACAGGCTATGGACAAAGCTCAGCTTTTAGTAGAGACGTTTGGCGAAAGTGCCAACCAAAATAACTTTTCTATACAGGTGCAGGCGATGAATATATAACCTACCACCCTTTCACTAATATTTTCTATAGCGCATTACGCTTTATCCAAATCGTGGGATAAATTTGCTACCCGCGCTTATACTCTATATGGTGATATGGGTGATGACACAGAATCGGAATGTCCTTCCGCCTATGACGAATTGTTTACATCTACTAGCTCTTCAAATACGAAAACTACACCAAATCCAGTACTTGAAACACCTCCAATACTGCCTGATGTGGAAATGACCCTGTCGATCAAACTGTGATACCCGAAACTTCCCAGAAGAAAGATAAACAAAGGCGCATGTTATGGATGATAAACAAGTCAAGAACCAATCAACAACGGCAAATCCTGGTGCACAAACATCAGCTAAAAACCCCGTAAGGGAAGAATTCATCTGTACCTGAGGTTACTCAAATACTGACAGGATATAAAGAAGCTGATGACCAGCGAGAGCAAGTCAAAGACATTATTGTATATGATATTCTGTATACCTGGAACATTGAGAAAATCTTAGGAGAATTAACGTTATGAGATCATACTATCAAGTTGTCAGTAAAACGGCAGCACAAATATCAGACTCTTAAAGTCAAAATAGTTTTGAACTCATTTACCCTTCCCCAATTTAACAAGTTTTGGACGACTAACCTGGGAGGTATACCAGTGAAATAGTTCCCCGCAAGTTGGACTTTACGAGAAAGAAAACAATGTGAAAAGTTCCAAGCTGTCATTCTTGTGGAGTGACCGTAAACCACAATTATTTTTACAGACGTGCAGTGCTAGCACCTTTAAAATTATACAAACAAGCAAAGGAAAAAGGAAACTCGTAGGTTATTTCGAGAATTGGGAGACCACACTCAAGGCCTAAAATATGCCTCAAGTTTTCCTTAATGATAAGGAGTTGCGATGGTGTCAACACTCTATTCCTACCTTGAAGAAGAAGCACAAGCCGAAGGCTCAAAATACTCCGAACAAGAAGTCTGAAAATCCTGGACAAAGTTCGAATAGTAATCAGCCTAAGAAGAAGGATAAGAAGTTCTCAACCAAGACTGCTAAAGATGATAACCAGTTGAAGAACCTGAATTCTCAGAAGAAGGCAAAGAAATCCTCAAAGAGTAAGAGACGTAATAGTGTTAACACAGAGATTTTAGCAGAAGTTTTGGACCTATTACATAAATTAAATTAGTTTAAATTCCTATCTAGTTATAGTTATTTATTTAATTAGAATATAGCGCATTTTTAGTAGCAGAATTTTTTTTTCACTTTTAATTCTACTCTATAAGCCCTTGGCTTTAGAAGGAGCTTGCCCCAGTTCTTCCTTATTTTTACCCAGTTCATATGGGTTTGTCTAGGCGGCGAAGTTTCACCTAGATTGAGCCTTTCTCTTTATCAAAGGGTGAGGTCTGGTTGTATGGGAATTTAGTTTCCAGCGCTGGTTGAATTTCCTATTCTAGACACAGTTTTTAGTTGGAATGTATTTCGATATATGATAGCTATCAGTGTTTATTTTCACTGTGCGGCATGTGCATAGCGCACATAATCAGAATTTTGCACACACCTTTTTTAGAAGGGATGTGCGGCATGCACAAAAAATTTTGAAATATCCTTATATGATTGGACGCATATGTATTACAGTACCTATTATAGTAGTATAGCCATACCACTTTGCCACACAGTAAAACTCAATAAATTGTGCGCCGTCCGCACAGTAACTTTTTATCAAAAAATTAACACTGATAGCTATTATTTGTACTAGATAGGTTTTACTACTCTTGGCAGAATAAAATAAATAAATCTCTACTTCTATCTCTACTTCTTGATCAAGACCTAGATTGTGACCTTCTTCTTTCCCTTCGCAATCTATATTCATATCAATGTTGATCATGCGCAGCATGCTGCCGTCGATACTCTCATCTAAACAGATCTAAAATCCAATAAAAATATTACAGCTGATTGCAAAATTGTTTGACCACCCTATGATTTTCAATTTGAAAATTTGATATTTTGAATTTTCCTATTTTGGTAATAACTTTAACTTCTTAAAATTAATAAAGATTATTATTTAAGAAGTTGAATAAACAGGTTTTTAACTTGATTTTTTACTGGTTTTTGAAAAATTCAAAATATCAAATTTTCAAATTAAAAAATCATAGGGTGGTCTTACAATTTTGCAATCAGTGAATAGTTCCTTATATTGCATCTAATTCATACCAACATATTATAATTCTCAATGATGGTATTTATTTATGTATTTGTTTATTGTTGATTTCTCATGGAATTATTTGTCAGCACTATTTTAAGTTAATGGTTGAAAATCAAAAAGCTTTATTTCACGTAATGTTGATGCCATCAAGATGGTTACATAATGATACATGGAAAAATATCGATTCTATATACTGTGAACCATTTATTAATACTTTATCTCAAAATTTTTCCAATACTAATAATAAACAAATTTTTAATCCTAGACATTATAATAATATTCAAGGAGTTCAGGTTTATCAACAAGTACGAAAAAAAATGTATTATGGTAGAATCATGGGTCATTTTAAAAAAAATGATCTCATATTATCTTATATTGCTAAAAGGGTTGAAGAACGTGAAGCCAGATATCAATCAACTACTACTAACAAAATTCAGCCTTCAAATAATACTATTAAATCAAAAGATGGATGCGTTTATAATGTCACTATGTCAGTGATATTAAAGATCCAACTGTGTGTCAGGTAAAGGTAGATCTTCTACTAAACGATTGAAAGCTTTTAATAAAGTGCATAATAAAGTAAGAAGCACTAGTACTAGCGAACAAATTAATATTGGTTGTGAAGAAAATGAAATTAATGGACGTAGATGTAGATTGTGTCATAAAACAGGACATTATGTTCTGAAATGTCCTAACAAGAAAAACACTAATGTAAATGGTTAGTAGTTAGATATTAGTATTAATGATATTAATAATGTATTAAGTTAAATATAATGTATTAAGTTAGATATTAGTATTAATGATATTAATAATGTGTAAATAAAATTTTATTTATCTTATACTCTAATAAAATGATACAAATTTTGAAGTCATGTAATATCACGTGAATTTATATGAGGCAATGTTTAAGCATTATAGCAGGCACGATAAATAAATTTGGTAATTTATTTATATTGAATCATATGATATATTTCTATTTTTATTTAAGGAGTTGAATAAATAGGTTTTTAACTTAATTTTTTACTGTTTTTTTGAAAAATTCAAAATATCAAATTTTCAAATTAAAAAATCATAGGGTGGTCTTACAATTTTGCAATCAGCTATAATAAAGCATCTCAAAAATAAATTATAAGTTCAAGATGCAACCCGTATACATGAAATGTCTATTTAATATGCATAATTATTTTTTTCAAAATACTTTTGAATTCGTTGTTTCTTTATCGCCAACTCCTTCTCAATATCTACCCTATCCTTTAATAACCCAACAATAACTTCTATCACTCACTTTACATTTTTACGCAATTCTTTTTTATCCTCTGAATTCTCTTTCAAAGCAGATTCAGTAAATTGGATATTAAGAGGATTTTTACTTGTATAATATATTCTGTCTGAAGTGTAAAGGATAAAATACCAATCCGTAACTGTTGTAATGATTCCATAGATATAATTGAAGTCATCTCTGAATGCATCACACCATCACCTGACTTATGCTTTCTTCACTTTTACATTGAACCAGATTCTGAGCAAAGCTAATGACCACTTGATATAATTTCCCTTCCATGATGCAAATAAGTTTATCAAGAGCCTTGATTGCATAATCGATTTAACTGGTATTTTCTTCACCAACAATTTCTAACTGGAAAGCTAAAGTAGTGCTTCGATCTGAATGGGATTTTAACAGATCAATCTGCGGTTTACTATGGTTGGGCAACGATTTATTTGAGTTGGAGCTATAAGTTTGGCCAAAATTAATAAAATTTGTAGAAGAATAATTTTTTTAAATCTGACAAAAATTATAGTTTAACAAAAATAATAGAAAAATGTTGTGATGTCAATGGATCAATCCGGATTGAAGCACTAAGCCAAAGTAATCTTCTTTATTATTATTCTCTTAATAATATATAGTAAAGTGTAAAGAATGACCAAAATATATTCACACTATTACCAAAACTGATGGTAAAATTTACTGAAACTGATTGGTAAACTTATCAAAAGTATAAGTTCTAAGGTTGCATAGTATATGCTAATTAGTTTTGATATTAATCATATAAACTGATTTATGATCAGTATAGATAATCTCTTTTTTTTGAAAATAAATTCTTTAACTCTTTTTTTTGTAGAATTTTTATAGAGATCAGACTGGAAATTGGAATTGAGAATGAATAAGTGTTCTAAGTGAAGGAGAAAATAATTTTACTTTTTTTTTTATAGAAGAACGTTAATTAATGTTCTTTAACTCTTATTTTTTTTGTAAAACTTTTTGGAATGAGCTTAAGGAAGGAGAAAGGATTTTTTTTTAATATATTAAAGAACGTACTAACTGTATGTTTCTTTTTTATTTCTTTAGGTTGCCAGACTTTTAGATGAACCTGGATTAAAACACTCAGAAATGTAAGCTTAAGGAAAGGAAAGAATTTTTTTAAAATATATTAAAGAAATGTACTAACTTTTTTATTTTTTAGATTGCCAGACTTTTAAACATCCAATCAGTAAATTTTTTATTACAATCAAATAAAAAATATTAAAATAAAACAATAAATAAAATATTGCAATGAATTTTTTAATTACAGTACATATAAATTCATTGAAAATAAAAAAAATAAAATAAAAAATTAAACTATAGCGAAACTCATATAAAATATTATTACTTTTTATGCCACAAGTTTTGGCAGTTTTGCAGTTTTGCAGTTTCGTTACTATATAAGAGTAAATCAGTTTAGTAAATTAGTTTAATAAATTGTAAAACTAATACTGAAACTAAAGTTCAGTTCAGTAATTCAGAATACTGAAACTGTTCTGATATTGAAACTGATTGAAGCCCAAAAAAAAGGTTTATTGTATACTTTGAACTAAATTAAAAATTACTATTAAACGTTTATCATATATTTTTATGATTATGAATAATAAAATTTTGATAATTTTCTTGAATGGAAATTGGAATTAAAAAAAAAATACCAATTTACTTAAATATAAAATGACTTTGTAAAATTGACACAATTTGCTAAAACTCATAATTCTGATTATTAATTAATTTTCAATTAATTTGCTCTATCTAAAATTATGAATTTAACTTAATTTTGACTGAATTTGCTAAAACTCAAATGTGAGTTATATATATGATGTTTAGGGTCATGTAATAAGGTTTATCTAATAATTAAAAAGGTAACTAAAATTCAGTAGTAAAGTTTTTTTTATATAATTGATAATATAAGGTAAGGTTTATATATTTTTTTTAAAATGTTGTGGTAAATTTCAAAATGTTACATTAATTTTTCAAAACTTTAATTTTTTTTAATTTTTTTCTTTATTTTATAGGTATCAGTTAGAATTTTTGGGCAAAATAGTAAGTTTTGAAAAAAATCATTTTCTTTTCAAAACTTTAATTTTTTTTTTGTTTTTTAATAAATTTTACTAACATATTCTTTTTTGTAAGTTTACAACTTTCTGAATACTTCCTGAATAGAACTATTCTTCAAAGTTCTTTAATTTCTTTTATTTTCTTTAACGAAATATTGACTAATGTTTTGTTTTTCTTTTTTTACTGTAGATTAGTGACTTTTTGGATAACATCTGGATGGAATTTTGAAAAAAAATAAAGATTTTCAAAGAAATGTAATTTGTAAGTTTATGAGCATCTGAATAGAACTTTGAAGGTATTTTTTGAAGTTTAAATTTTATTTTTTTAACAAAATGTTATTAATTAACTGAATATTTTTACTTGTTTACTTTTGGTAGTTTACAAGTTCCTGGATGCTTCTTAAATATAAATTTAAATAGTTATTTGTTGAAATTGAATCAACTGGAATAATATCCAAACCATTAACAACATGTAAATTACAGTAGAACTTTAGCTATTAGTGCACTAATAAAATAGTGTAGTAAAGTTATAAATTTGTAATATATTTAATTAATAAATTAAGTAGAATTTAATAACAAAAATCCATATAAAATTTTATTATTTATAAAATCTGTACAGTTTTTTATTAAATTTTTTCTCTAATGTTTTGCATGAGAGTATAAAATTTGCACAGATATAATTTTTAAAAATCTATATAGATTTGCTTTCCAAAAAAATTTCTGATGATAATTATTTTAAATTTATAATTAAAGTAATATATATATTTACTATAAGAAAGTGTTATTTTTGCTATTTATTGTTATTAAAATTTTATTTTATAAATTGCAAGAGTTTTCTCTTTTTATTAAATTAATAATTATTCTTAATTTATAATTAAGATGATATATTAATATTATACTAAAATACTAAACAATTTTAATAAATTTCTTATTTTGCTAAAATTGAAAAAATACAGTATTATATAAAGTCAATATTTTAAAAAATAAATAAATAAATTTTTATAAAGTAAATCTAAAAAATCATGTAGATTTTTTTTTAAATAATATTATAAATTAGTAATTTGTTTTTTTTTTTAAAAGTAATTAGATTATAATTCTAGTTCTAAAGAAATGTTTGGAATTTATAGTAAATTTACTAATGCAGATATTAGTAGTAATTAAATTAATTTTTATTTAATTTTAGTTTTTTTTTTATTATGTAATCTAATCTTAATATACACAGTGAAATTTTATAAACCAGATCTTTGATAAACTGAATTTAGGCTTAAACTGAACTTTTTTGCTGAAACTAAATCACGTATATTAAAATAGTTTCGATATACCAGAGTTTACTAGTAAAAACTCGATATTCACTATAATAAATCAAATGATTTGATAAATCAGATCACGTGATAATTAACCAATAAAATTTAAGTAACAGAATACTGTAAATCTTAATTTTGGCCAGAATTATAAAAATCTTAATTCCGGTTGAAGTTATATATTACTTATATCTTCAATTAAAAATATTTTATATTCGTTTTCATGAACTCTATAACTTAAAACTAAGATAAAAAATTAAATTACAGTGTATATTAGTTTTATTAGCATGAAAATTTTTTAAAAATTCAGTATAATAAATTTTCAGTTTTTTTCGATTTACCAGATATTCTGATAAATCAGATATTTTTAGTGGAACCAATAGATCCAGTTTATCAAATTTCATTATGTACTATATTTTTCCAAGGATTTTGGTTAAAAAACTTGTGAAGGTACTTAATTTTAGAAGTTTTTTTTATTAATATTTTATATATTAATCTTTTTATCAGATGCTTAATTTTGGAAGGTAACTAATTTTGGAAAAATATAGTACAGTCAACTTTCTTTATAGTCACACATTTGAAACAGTTCATATTTGGTGATTATAAAAAGATAAGACTATATAAAAAATTTTCTTATATATATATATTATAATTCTGGTCAAAAATTCATAATTTTAGTTAGAATTATACTTAAAACTTTATTGTATCGATACTCTGCCAATATTAGTGAACTTACCGCCATTCGATTCATCTTGATAAGACGATTCTAATGATATAAAATACATTGAAATCCAATCACTAGATCAATTTTTAAAATTAAAAAATATTAATTGTTTTTGCATAATAACTCTATCAATATTGATTCTAAAAAAATAATCTTACTACCATTCGATTCGTCTTGATGAGATGAACCTAATGGTATAAAATGCATCAAAATCCAATCACTAGATCAATTTTTGAAATTAAAAATATTAAATGGTTTTTGAGTGGTAATTCCGTCAATATTAATCACAGGGAGATAAGTTTACCACCATTCAATTCGTCTTGATGAGGCGATTCCAACAAGCTATTAATCGTCTTTTTATAATCACTAGGTATCAAGCAATTTAGCAAAATGTTAAATAGCGCAGTAAATGTAAATTAAGAAATTATATAATGTCGATTTTTAACATTTTGTTGAATAATTTATCAGCTAGTATTAATCGTAAAAGGATAAAACTAGGGTTAGTCACCATAGTGCAGTCATTAAGGTGGCATCCTTCATATAGTCTAAGTATGGTGAGATCGCAGATTCGATTCCCATGATCACAAAAATAAAAAGAATTTTATTGCGAATACTACAATCAATAGTGTGAAAGTACAGGGATTAGTGTAGTTAAACTGCATCATAGTGAATTAATGTATACAGTTAGGCTGCACAGTCCTGTTCTTGAAGTCACTACTATACCTTGAGGAACTTTCTGTCCAGGTGGTTACTTCACGATATTACTTGTCAGTTTAGATGGTAAAGCTGAAGGTGCAATGTCTTAGTGGTAGTTTAAACTTCTGTTAGGTCATAAACCAACTAAGGTGTTCATGCACAAAACAGATAGCATGGTTATAGATTTTAATTCCCTACTCTTTGGGTCCTAGTTGGTGATCTCTGGTGGTTGATATTCACCATAAGGGGTGATTTTGGATACTAGCCTGCTACTTTCTGTCTGAATGGTCACTACAAAGTGTACCACTTGGGATTTATAACTATACTATCAGTGCTGAATAATCGTGGACTGTAGTGGCCTTTAAGTAAAATCTTATACCTAAATTGGTGGTATGAAAGAGTACTAGATGGTTGATACTACCTGTTGAAAGTCCTCCATAAAAGTAGGTGCTTTTTAAAGGTCATAAAATAAATTGAGTACTAGTATCATGCAATGGATGTAAGGATAAGTAGGCGGTGTATTCTATTTTCAGATTAGCCTTAAAAGTGGCCTAATAGGAGATGTTCTCATATTTGGTGCTGTCTTCCTAAGGAATTAAATACTCAGTAGTATAGTTGCCCTTGGGGATGATAAAATATTAAGCAGACCTACCCTATAAATGGGTGGATTGGAAAGCCTTAACTATAAACTTCTAGCAAAGTAAAAAAATAAAACTACCACCATTCGATTCGTCTCAGTAAAATGATTCTAATAAGCTATAATACATCTTTGTACAATTATTAGATATCAAGTTATTTAATATATTCTTTGTATAACTGTAATTATAAACGGTTCTTTTTAATATAAAATTTTTAAAAATAGGTGTGATAGTGACTATAAATAGATTGTAACTATATAGGATAGATTTTAATAATAAAGTGTTTTGAACATTTAACTAATATGATTATATAGTAAAATGTAATTATAATGGAAGTGACTATAGAGAAAGTTAATTGTATCAATATTCAATTTACCAATATACTATTAAAAACTTAATATATCAATAAAATTTTATTTTCCCACTATATGTGAAGACATATAAATATTAATATTACAATATTTCCTAAAAAATTTTCATATATGTTCTAATATATTATTATATAAAAATTTGACTGTACTTCAGTTAAAGAAAATGATTAATTTTAGTTTATTTATTTTATTTATCGCCATTTTCAAAATGGTATGCGCAGTGTCGATCATGTATTAAAAATGAATACCCGCTAAGAATACCAGAAGGTTGTTATCACATGAACATTATCCAATTAAATTATTAGATTTTATAATAATTTAGTTTTGTGTTTTTTTCATGTTTCAACTTGAATAATGACACTTAAAGAATATCTCATTGGTACGTGCCTTGGCTGTAAGAAATGTTTATATTGTGGAGATGAATTAAGTATTCAAAAAAAAATGTACTCATGTGATAAAACTATAAAACCAAGTAAAAAAAATAGGACAAACAAAGTAAAGGTTGCATACTCTCAGGTTTTTGCACCTGAATTATTTTCCAAACAATATGAATATATCAAAGATAATGTCACTCGTTTCAACTATTCTTTGGATCTCACTACAAAATTCAACTTCACTCTTTGCTCTTCATGTCACAGTTATTTTCAAAGGCAGAGAAAATTCATTATTACTAAGGACACTTCAAATTTTTTAGAAAATAATAAATCAAATGATGATTGTATTATCTTAGATGAATCTGATGATAATACTAAGCATGAATTTAAAGTGGATAAAAAATCTGAAACTGAGCAAATTACTATATCATTTAATTTGGTCATAAAACTTTCTGCTGGCCTATCATTACCATCGAAATGGTTAGAAATTGAGACTTCATCATTAGATGATATACTTGCAGACATTCACCATTATGTTGGAAAACTAACCAGTGATGGAGAAATTATGCATTCTGATTATTCAGTATCATTTAAGCTAGAAAAATCAGGAGAGGTTAGAGTGCAATTAGAAGACATACAAGATTATAAAAAGTTCCTCTCAGATTACAAAAAACTGGTAGATAAAAAAAAGAACATGTCAATTATAGTTTCTCTTAAAAAGAAAAGGCAAAAGAGAAAGGTAATTTGCTTTATATTTCTTTATACAGAAAACTATTTTTTATTTATTTTTATTGTTTTAGGAAATCTCATATTCTGAAGAATCCAAAAGTGAGAATATCAAGTTGAATAAAAAAAAATGTGTAATACCAAAATTAAAAAATTTTTCTACAATTTTACAACAAGAAGGCCATATAATTTGTGAATTGAGAGAGAAATACAAATGCAATCAGTATAATGCATCATGTTTTATTGGCGATAAAAGACATATAAAACTTACAGCTATGCACCTGCAATGCTAGGCAAAAGAAATTGTAATTATGTTTATAAATTTATTATTGACCAATCAAAAAACTAATACTTTTTTTAATAAGTTTTTTTTATTTTAGATTCGAAGTACCACAGATAATACTCAAACACTGAATTTGCCAATTTTCTCACAATCTAGCAGTACAAAAGAAAATTTCAAGCCACCCACACCTACTAATTTTTTTTACTATGATACCTCAAATGATTTCATTTGCACAAAATTCAAATATGGTTAATACTTTAAAAATATATTTGAAAATGAACAGATTACTATAGATCAAATATATGATCTTACTGATGCAGAATTTGACCAGTTAGGCGTAAATAAAATTTGGTGGTAAAAAACATTTAGAGCTGCAGCAAAACGTTACAAATAATTTCAAGAAAATTCATGTTATATTTTCATTTATAATATAATAAATTCACATTTTACAGTTTGACTAATATGAAAATAAAATTTCTATATACTCTAGTTTTTATAAAATTTCTTATCTATAAGTTCTATTACATATAAATTGAATCCTTAAAAACTTTCATAGCTGTCTCCAGAGTAATTTGAGAACATGCTATTAAAAAAGGATATTTAGGATCATTACATAAATAGACAAAGTTCCTGTATTTCTTTAAAAATGATTTTATAATGGAAAAACAAGTTTCAACTGGGTTAAGATCTGGCGAATAAGGAATAAGAACTCAACACGACCACCAAATGCTTCAATATATTCTACAAGATCTTGATCATGGTGAATTCGCACATTATCAAATACAAGAACACTTTGTTCACCAGGATATGAATTCATTTGAGAAACCTAATACAAGAAAAAAAAAATAAATATTACAGGTAAAATAAGTAAGATAATAATTATTATAACAATTCCTAAACTTATTATCACATTTGAAATAACAAAATTTTTAAAAATTTCTTTCGTACAGCTACCTTCCATGATGTTTACAGCAATAATGCCTTGTAAAGAAAATGCAGGCAATATTGTATAACGTACTCCACGTACAAATACATTCTTTTTAATTGCAAAAGTATTTTTAAAGAATAACCATATCTACGAGATAAAGTGCGTTCATCTTTAGAAGTTTCATCCATAAATATAAGCTGTTCAGGTTTATAATCATGTCCAACTTTTGCAATAAATGTGCTTCTAAGAAGTTCATTCCGTTCATAAGCTGCTTGATGTAACTATACAAAAACAATAAAAATAAATTACAAAAAAAATAACAAAAAAAGAAAACTACAAATAAATAAATAATAAATTTGCACATACTTTCTTTCTACTAATTCCACAGTAAACTAAAGATTGCCAAAGAGTTGGAATAGAAACCAACTTTCCTGTCTGTTGCTCAAGTTCTCCTACTAATTCGTCTAAATACCAATTCACCTTATCCTTAACTAACTCTCATAATATCTAAATTAATAATACAATAGTAATATTCAAAAGTGAATTGATACACTATTTTACTTATAAATTACCTTCATTTCATTTTGAGTTAATATTTTATGACGTCCTGGTGGTTTTTGCTATGGATTTACTACCGTTCCCCATTGTACATATATTTGCAAGATATTATCAACAGTGTGTTTGCTAATGTGTAATAATCTAGCAATTTTTATTCAACTATATCCATCATGATGAAGGTAAATAATTCTCCACTTCAGATCCTCACTAAAAGCACAAGCCATTGGGAAAAAACAATGTCTAAAGTTGAAAAATTTGAATAATCTCAATAATCGGCGAATAATCGCAAACTTTAAACAAAAAAAACTTTCAAATATTACATAATACTAACTTGATCTATAACTCTATAAAAAGCTGTAAGTAAACCTACTAGTGCAAATAATGCTGAAAAATCTTAGGTATCGTTAAAAAATAACGTGACGCATATATTGGATTTAAAATATTCTGCAAAAAATTGGGGGTTTTTTTTTAATCAAATGATCAACACTGCGTATACCATTTTGAAAACGGCGATAATTTTATTTCATTTTATAATTAATATATAGTAAATTTTTATTTAATTTTTTATTTATAAATTATATTATACATATTAAAAAAAAAAAGACATTATTGTAAAACTAAATTATTATAAATATATTTTAAAAATTAATAATACTATAAAAATGCAATTTTTTTATAAGTACAATTTATTTATATTAATATAAGTATTTTCAACATTGCTGAATGTTAATAATATACAATAAACCAATTTTTTTTTTAAATAATATATCTATATTTAACTTATAAAAATGATATATATATAATAAAGCAATTACAATGACTAATAAGCCTAAAATGAATACAGCAGAAAATACCAAAAAAAAATAAAATCACAGAGTACTAAAAACACATAAGTAAGCAACACTATAATATAAGTAGGCAACAATCTTAAAGAGGTAAAATTACACTTTGAAGTTAATAAAATCAAATAAAATTAAATATAAAAAACCTAAGATAATTCAATTTTAAGCTTACATAATTTCGAAAATTATATATAGAAAATTGGGTAATAAACTAATAATATAACTAGTCAAAAAAACTTCATTACATTTTCTTTTAAGTATTTAATTAAGTAAAAAAAACAAACGTAATAGCCAACTATATAGTTAGAAAATTTTTTCATCATATAATGAGAACAGTAACTTTTCTATAATAAAATATAAACCAAAGAATTATGTACAAATAAATATAATTTAAATCCACAATGAAGTTCTCATTATTCTCATTAAATATGGTTAGAAACGTCGAATTTTTTAACCTCTCGTAACTAGATTGCACGTGATTCCATTTTTATGTATATTAGTCATGATCAATTTTGATTTGTAGCATATAGTATTTGAATTTTTCAATCATGATTGTCGAATTTATCTTTAATAGAGCAAATTCGCAACTAAGATTTCTTACAAATTGCTGTTGACTTTTCAGTATTTCTTATAGATCGTTTAAGAGATCTATTATAGAAAGTTTTTGATCATCACTATAAGTTTTCGCAATGAGTTATGCAGGTCTATTTTTTGGAAATTTCGACGAAGAAGGACAACTTGAGAGTGCTGGTTTCGATGAAGTATTTATTCAATTGAATTGTTAATCGATGAGATATTTCCAGAAATTTTTAGCACTCACTTATAGTTATTTATCATTTATTTAGGAAATTAGAGAAAGTTTACAGAAAGACGTTTTGAATGAAATTTTTTCAGTTCGTTCATTGGGTATTGATGATAAGGAGGAGGAGGATGCCATCAAAAGTGAAGTGTCAACTCAAACTCCAGTACAAACACCTGGTGAATCAAGTATTAAGCCTGAAGAAGATGCAATTGATTATTCCGATTTCAATGAACTTGCTGATGAAACAATGTTTTCAGAAAAATACTATCAACAAGGTGTAAATAGTGTTATAAACTTGAAAAGATCTTTATCATTTCCGCCCTTACAATCTAACAGTTTAGAATCAATTGGAAAAGAAAATTTAAAACAAGAAGATGTACAAACTGAAGTGCTTCATAAAGCCACAACTTCCACAACAACTATTCCTTTACAGGATTTTTCTATTGTGGATAATGAATTACAAAAAGTTATCAGACGAAACAATGAAGAAGTGAAACCAGAAATAAACATAAAAGCATTGTATCCTGCATTCGAGAAAGACAAGATTTTGAAGTTTTCTGAATTATTTGCAACTAAGCTTACTCAGCGTAAATTACATCAATTAAATATTCATGGTACCGAATCATGTTGTACTTAATATTGTTTTATTCATATTACTACTACATGAGTTTACATTAAATTTTAATTTATTAGTCGAACCACAATCAGAATTTGATTTTGCAAAAGATGAACGAGAATTATTTGGGTCTTCAAAACAATACTTTATATCACTTGATAAAAAATCTGAGGAATTAGATCTTATTGAGCCAGTTCCATCCTCACCGATGACTCAAGTTTCTGATGGTAGTATGTATGGAAGTGATTTTGAAGCGGAAGCTCATCATGTAACGGTTATTTAATGGTTCAATAAGTTGTTATTTCTGTAAAAAAAAAATGGTTAAACAGATTAAATAATTATTATTACGATTATGTAATAATTATAGGACAAACTTGATGTTGAAAAGTTATCTTGGAAAATTCCAGAGAAAAATAATGCGTATTATTCTATTGTAATGGATACTTGGGAAGATAAGATTTTATGGGATAGTGATGATGAGGATCAAACGAGGTATTTAATATATAAATCAAAACAAAAACTTTTTTAATTATTAGTATAATTATATCGAAATTATTTTCACGACAATGTTGTATTTTAGTATTGACATGGATTATGTGTCTGAGCCAGAGGTATTTGCTTATAAAGAATTTATCATACTGACCTGTCGAGGGTAGATGTTAATTTATATTATATTTATATATTTTATATTGTTAGGGGTCTAGTGCTATAATGGCTTATCGAAATTCTGAATTAGAAAGTGGGGAGTGGATTAATCATATTTTATGGGATGATTATAGTGGGCCCATCCCTTTCGCTAGACTAACATTGGATATGAATGATCCAAATTTACTTTTTGATTATTCTGCTCTTGAACCGCCAAAGCCAGCAGCTTTCGACTTACCAGGTTTGATGATATATATTTCGAATCATAATCCTTTAACCAATGAGACAAAGTGAACTTATATTCTCTAATCATAGATATAAAAGGTAGAAAAATGATCAGATATAATCCTAAGGTGATTATTTTTTAAGTATACTATGATCAATGTTTGATGTTTTTTTTTTAATTAACTTTATATGTTTTTATTATAAAAGAAACCTTTTGGCTTTTCTTACAAACCCGAAAGACGAGTTTATCAACGACGACTTAATTTTGGACGAATGTACATTCAACATTCTTTACCTGCTCTTCGATTACATTCACAATATGTATGTTTAAGGAAAGTTTATATATATATCAAACGTCATTCAAAATATTAATAATGATGTATATTAAAGTTTAAGACTAAGTTCACTAAATCGGATATTCGAGCATTACATCGCCCATCAATTCAATTTCCTCTTGAACAAGAAATTCATTTTAGCAGAATGAAGAGAATCAAAAAGAAAAAAATTAAAAGTCGCGAGGCAATGAAAAAATCAAAAGATTTAACTCTTAAGGATAAATCTGATTTCGTCTTATTTGAATATTCGGTATTTACTCAATTATTTCTATTATTATTATTTTATTTTATTTTATTATTTAGTAATGGTGCTTTTAATGTTTGTTGTTAATTAGGAGGAATACCCTCCAATATTATCAAATATTGGGATGGGTACTTTGCTACTTAATTTTTATAGGAAAAAGGACCCAATTGATTCTTTCGTGCCTAAGGTGGCTAATTATTTAAATAATAGTTAAACTATAAAGCATTTCATAGGAAGTAACACTATTTTACATTATAGCTTGATATAGGTGATCCAGTCGTTCTTGATGTGATTGATGAATCGCCTTTCATGAATTTTGGTAATGTGGAAAGAGGACAAGTCATACCCGCACTATATAATAATTTAATTAGAGCACCACTGTTCAGACATGACGCCAATGATACAGATTTCTTGGTTATTAGGTTAGCATTCTATCTTCACAACTATTAATCAGTAATATCACTATTAATTTTTATAATCATGATTGTAATACCAGGAATACATATAAAGGAAAATCAAAATATTATGTGCGTGAAATAAAAAATCTTTTCGTAGTTGGCCAAACATTTCCCATGCAAGAAGTTCCCTCCCCACCATCCAGAAAAGCGAAAACCATAGCCAATACTCGTATTCAGGTTGCCGCCTTTCGATACATGAAAAAGAATAGATACAATCTTTTAATTCAGGATAAACTTACTAAGAAATTTCCAGACTATTCGCTTCAAACCCTTCGTGGGCGTTTGAAGGTAGTAATAAATTATTATTCTTTATATATTTTAGTATTTATTGCTAAAATATTATTAAATATTCCTTAGGAATTTGCAGAGATGGCTCGTAAAAAAGGAAACTTCAATAATAGTCCAATTTGGAAATTGAAGCCTTCAGTTCGTATTCCCACTGAAGAAGAACTTAGAAGAATGTTGACACCAGAAATGGTCAGTAATCGTTAAATATTTACTTTTGAATATATATATTTGTATCTAACATAAGTTACTTTTTAAAAGATTTGTTTAGAAGAAAGTATGATGGTGGGAGAAAGGCATTTACAAGATGCGGGTTATAAATCAATTTGGACTGAAGATGACGATAAAACAAAAACGACTAAAAAAGATGAAGAGGATGGCGTTCAAGATGACAGTAAGCTAGCTATTGAAGAGTCTAAACTTGCTATCGAACAACAATTAGCTCCTTGGATAACTACGAGAAATTTTCTTAACGCTACGCAGGTATTTACTCTTTCATATGTTATTAATTTCAAAAGGAATAAAATTTTCATAAATTTTTCATAAATTTTGCAGACAAACGCCATGTTAAAATTGCATGGCGAAGGTGATCCAACGGGGCGAGGCGAGGGTTTTAGTTTCATTCGAATATCTATGAAAGATATCTTTCTTAAAGCAGGCGAATCTGCTCAAGAGAAGCTTGGTATGAATAAGTCAATTATTTTTGATCAAATGGATTCATTATATTTATTAGACCGTTATTCCTTAATCGATTTGCAGCTGAAATAGAAAATAGGCCTAAGAGTGGACATAAATATAATGTAGTTGAACAATGGAAAAGATATAATCAAGAGGTATTTTTGAAATATATGGGTAAACATGCATAAGAATTATGTATATATAACATTTTATTCTATATAGATCTACCGTATTTGGAACGCTCAATATGCATCTCTTAGTAAACACGTAGATTTAAGTGCGGAATCTGCAAAACATGCTGATGATACTGGAACTTATTCAAATAATCAATTTATGAATGATGACGATAATCAAGTAAAATCAATGTTCTATTTTCGAGAGAGGATCTTTCAACAAAATTCTTATATTCTCTAATTTGTATTAGATCGATAGTGATGTTGACTATCAGAATATGATTGATTCCGCAATGCCCGATCGGGAAGAATCAAGTTCTCCATTGCCTATTACACCTGCAGACTATGATGATGCAACATCTCTTGATGGCAGTATTAGTTCTAGAACAAATTATGATTGTGGATCCCATCGTAACAGGGCACTTGTTATAAACAGACTTGTATGTAGAGGCAGAATATGGTAGATCATATATTATTTAATTTAGCTAATAATATATTGCTCATTTGTAGGTGAGATCATCGACGGGGGAATCAATGTGGACAAAGACGCATGTTACAGACCCAGCTGTAATAAATGCATATATTAATCAAAGACAAATTATTGAAGAACAAACGACAGCGTAAATAATTTTTTCAAGATAACTGGTTTCCTTAGTAATGAGTTTTGTTTAATCATTATTTATTTTTGTAGTGCTGAGTTATTGGAGCCTACAAATGATGAAGAGAGGAACAAGAGATTAAGGAAAAGGTTTATAATATAAATTATCTTTTTTTTTTAGTTATTTTTTTATATATAACTAACTTTTAATAATGGTACTTAGGATTCAAGATCAATTGGCTAAATTACGAAGGAATCAAGAGAGACGTCAACAGCGTAAAGCTGCTCGTGAAGCTGCAAAGGCTTCGTCAACAGGAGATTCTACATACGGATTATCCAATAAAGACAAGAAAACAGACACTATTGTAAAATAATTTTTTAATTAATTTTAATCTTGTTAAATTCCAATTAATTCACTTTGACTCTCTTAATAGAGACGCTGTGGCAATTGTGGTCAAACCGGACACATGAAAACCAATAAAAAGTGCCCTCGTTATGGAATGAATGCAATTGATCCTATGAGCCCCACGTTAGCTGGTCCATCTGAATCAGTCGCCGATGTTAAAACGGAGAGGAGCAGAATTCTGATAAAGTCAAAGGCAATAGAGAAGTGAGTAAATTGTATCACGTGATTAAAAATAATTTCTTCCGTGCTTTAATTATATCTTTTTCTATTAATTAGACCTCCCGAAACAACAAGAATAAAAATTACATTACCTTCAAGTATGTGTATCTAATATATTGTTCTTTTATATTGTTAAATTATACTTAATTTTAAAATTTAATTTTTTTAGATGAACGTAAAAGACCAGCACCAGACTTAGATTCTGCTACTGATCGCAAACGGCCATTTATCGATGTAACCAGTTTAATCAGTAATACAATTAAAACTCTCTGGGACACAGAAAATGTAACCATTTTTTTTTTTTTAAAAAAAAAAAAATTTATCAATCGGCATTAATTTTCTTATATTGATTTAAATTTTCTAGGCGCATCATTTTCATTACCCAGTTACTGCTGAAATTGCACCCGATTACAGTACAATTATAAAGGAACCTATTGCCTTAATACAAATGCAAAATGTTGGTATTTTTTTTGAATTTATTTTCAATGTAATCATAATAAATTTAATTTTTTGTTTTTGATTGTAGAAAAATTCTCGCGGTGAATATAAAACTATAGGGGAGTTTATGCAAGATATGAAATTAATGGTTAATAATTGTCAAATATATAACGGTGACGCTAGTGGCTATACTATTATTGCTAAAAACTTATATGCTAAGGCAGAAGAATTAATCAGAGAAGCCGGATTTTAGCGAAAGTTTACTACTTTAGAGTTAATATTATGCTATTCTTATGTTTGTAATATTTTTTTTTTTTTTTTTTCATGGGGCAGTTTATAGGGTGAATGCATCTGATTGGCATAATGATGAGGGGCTTAGCTTTAAATTCAAATGCATATTATATTATGTCATGTAGGTCAAATAATTTATGCTAGTTATGAAAGTAGTAATGATTTACAAGGGTAATTTATTGAATGCATTTTGTATGGAAGTTTCTCGAACAAATTCGAAATATTTAGATCATAATCACTAACCAAATAAATACTAAACTGAAAAAAAATGGTAAATATATGTATATAAGTTTTCATACTCATTCTAATTTCCCTTTCTTTCTTTCTCGTGAATCATATTTTATATTTTTTAATATGTTGGCAACATTACCAATTGAATGTCTTGAAGAAATAATAAAAAATCTTGATTATAAATCATTGCATTCTTGTATATTAGTGAATTGTTTGTTAAGTGCTATCGCTGTTCGTTATTTATGGAAATTTCCATTTGGATATTTTAAAGAACCAAATAAATTGATAATTCAAACATATTTATCTTGTCTTCCTGAAAGTTCCAAACTAATATTGCATGAAAATGGTATAGAGATACCTTTATTTACATCATCACAATCATATAAACCTACTTATAATTATCCATCATTTATACGAAAAATATGTATCAAATCATTATTTATTACAACTGAAACTTTATTCGAAAAATATGAAAGAACATCTGTTCTTTTAATTGTAAGAGAACTTTGTAAATTATTTATTGCGAATTCGGTAAAAATAGAACGACTTGAACTTACATTTGATCATTCTAGCTTAAAAAACATTCCAAAAGATTATCCAGTTTATGATTGGTATTTATTATTACCAACATTCCCAGGAGCAAAAGAATCTTTATCAAATTTAAAAGAATTAATATTAGATTCAAATTTTGATCAAAGAGGAATTTTATTTGCATTATCAGAAATATGTCATAAGATTGAATATTTAGATATTTATTATGATGAACATACTATTAATGATTTAACAATAGAAAATTTAGTTAAAAATCAAAGAAATTTTAAAATATTTTCAACATTCTTATATGAAGGAAACTGGTCAATTGGACCATCACTTTGGCAACATAATAATAGTTTGAAAGAAATAATTTTTCATAGAGTAAATTTTAATGATTGTATATCATTACTTGGATTAGCAAAATGTATTAATTTAGAACGATTAATTTTTAGAGAATCATTTAATCTTCAAAAAGAATTATTTGATGAATTTTTAAGAGAAAGTAATTTACCAAAACTTAAAGAATTTTCATATGAGCTTTCATTTTTAGATTTTGATATAGATGATATAACATATGATATATCACAATTATTAAAACGTACAGATCATAATCTGAAACGTTTAACTTTTAATGATTCATTCAGGAGTGTTCAATCACAACTTTGGGAGATTTCAACACCTTATATGAACATTCAAAGTATTGAAACAATTACACTTTATTGTAAAAATTTAGTTTTAATTGATGCGACAATTATGAAAGCAACAGCAACACCATTTTTAGCAGCACTTTCTTCATGTAAGAAACTTCAAGAACTTAATATTTACTTGAATAATGATGTAGAACTTGAAGAATATTTACCTGATATTGGAAAGAATTTAGCAAAGAGTTTAAAAGTATTAGAAATTTCGACATTAAATGATTTTTCAGTTGAATCATTAAATGGATTATTAACTAATTGTAAAGCAAGATTATCAACATTAAATTTATTATACTCTAGATGTTTTAATGATCAATATTTGGAAGTGGTTGTAAAATATGCGAGAGAAATTGTTTGTTCTTCGTTAGATGAATTGAAGTTATTTTCCAAAACAAAAGTATCTAATGATGCATTGGAGAAAGCAAAAGAATATATAAAAGTTGTGGAATTGATTGAATTTTGTAATTTGACTTAATTTGACTTATAGATATCCTAAAATTTTAGGATAGGGAATTTATCAGAAACGCATTTCTCCTTCTATCTTGTTTGCTACTTGGCATATAATGTACGAATGCGAGTTATAATATCGTGAATTTATACATTTGAACGTAGATTAACGAGTAACGAGAGTCGAGAAAAAAAAGGTCATTAAATATGGTGATGTGACTGATGCGTGAAGTGTAAAGTTAAATGGTAAATATCGAAATCTTACAATATATATAGTTATATAGAGTTATAATTACTGTATATCGTAAAATGGTAAATTTGAATAAGTTATGTAAGGTACTTTCGAAATTCAATTCGTCAATCCTCTTATCAAAATATATATCGTAAGTCAAACCAAAGTAGATATCCCTTTGATATAAAGTTATCATACTTTAAAACTAGATTAAAGATTCGACTGTAATACAGTATTACTTTTTTTTTTTTTTTTATATTATTTTTTTATTAAATTTGTAATCACAATATAATAATAAAAAATTATTTTTTTTTTCGGTTACATGTTATAATTTAGAGAGACGTTATAAATTTAATGAAATAAATAATATCACATTGACACATTGACATCATTTTCATGTAGTCCCCAATATATAATGGTATATCAATATATAATGGTATATACAACATATAATGGTATATACAACATATAATGGTATATACAACATATAATGGTATATACAACATATAATGGTATATACAACATAATGGTTAAATCATCATCCCCGGTGATATCGATATCGTAATATCTAATATCTGATTTATGATCATAAACAATCTTGAAACGTTTGCACCCATTTACAACCTAATCAATATAATATTTACCATATACTGATATAACGTAATGTAACATCAATATATGGTTAGATTGACTCAGATATCTCGGCGAATTCAGTCAAAGAGAACGAAAATGAAACCTGATTAAGAACTTCTATCGGGTATTTTAGGCATTAAACGATTTATCATTATAAAATATTTTATTATCAGCATTCTTAAAACAGGAATATCTTATAATTGTGAAACCAAATTGCATTTAAACGCATTTAAACTGATGTAATCGCTCGGAAATGGTAATAATATATCGGATATGATTTACACGTTTTATATTTATGCATTTTCGGGCATTGGCATTTCCATTTTATCTATAATTCTTTAAAATTATGACGAAAATGATGAAACGCGTCTTACTAACTTTGCATTTCATTATTCGCTCATACCCTATTAGGGTTCTTTTGTGCTATAGTTCATTAGTCATAAAAACTTTTAATATTAAAGTCATGGTATTACTAGATTAAAAAAGATCAAAAAGATCATAATTTTGGAAAATTTTTTGAACATAATAAAATAATTTATTATATTAATTACTGTATATTAATTAATCTAATTGTGAATTGAGTAAAATCTTATCCATAAAAGATATAAAACTGTGTATTATACATATACATGCTGGCTTACATTTTTGACATCATTATTTACTTTTTTTATCACAAAGATTTTTTATTGGATGTGATATATAAAAAATGTATGTTGATGCCTATTAACGATCCATTACATTTATTATACTGTTTTCGTTTTATTTGATATAACGTAAAAAGTGTATGCTAAAAATAAAATAAGACGAATTTAAAGTGATTACATATACGTACATGCATGCATTATTATTAAACCCTGCATCTCCTATTACATACTTTTTTTTTCTACGAGATCTACGCAATTTTTGACAGTTTTTTAAATCATAGCAACGTATCTTGTATAACAAACACTTTAATAATTGTGGTATATTGATACGATGTGATAATTGGGTGTTACTTTGAATTGAGTTCAATAAATGCAAATTTCACGTCTATGAATGGATATATCTTTTTTTTTTTTTTAAAAAAAAAAAAATAAAAAAAAATAAAGACTCCTTAATTTACGAATAAATATAACATTTATAGTTATGTAAGCCTTAAAATTAATTTTAATTCAACGAATCACGTCTTTATTATATCGAAGTGATTTACACATTAGTACCCTCCGATCATAGTAGGTTACTTAGTACCCCGTTTAGAATAGTACCCCCAAAAACTTGGTAAAGTATATCAGTAGTACCCCAAGTCCAAGATAGAACGACCAGTTAAAAAGTGATCGGATGTAGTGTGATTAAGTAATATTCAAAATCCGATGAGTATTTTCTTATTAAGTGCAGATTTTTTTTAGATTTTTTGATCAGATAATCATGCGTTATCAGTTTAGTTATCAGATAGATAAAAAACAGAACTAAGCACTGTATGAGTAAAAGTAACTGTAGTAACTGAACNAAAAAAAAAAAAAAAAAAAAAAAAATACACAAATATAAAAAAAAATAAATAAAATTTTCGAGACATAAAAAAAAATAGAATTTTACACATATATTTAGGATCTTAAAAAAGTATATAGTTTAATTATAATTTACAATTTTTTTTATAATAAATAAAAAGTGGAAATTTGATGAAACAAAGTGTACAATTAAAAAACGTTTAGTTGAGTAAATTATTGAACATTTATTAGGTTGAATCATCAATTCACGGTATTACTTTTAGTTTATATTCAGATTTATACGCGAAAGAAAATAAAATATATAAAAATCTAAATGAAACGCGAAGAAATTTAATTTAGTACATTTTTCATTTTCATGAGAATGATATATAAAACTTTATAAATACAAATATAAATTACATACCAAATACTTTGCCGAAGTATTATAGATTATGCAAGAAACGAGATTTCATAAACTGTCATTTATTTTAATAAAATGACAACGAACGATAAAAAAACGATTCCGCAAATAGTTGTTTGATCGATTTCTCTAGTTCTATTCTAAAAAAGGTAACTAAGATATCCAATAAAATAAATTAACATATCATACGAGAGAAATAAAATCAAAGTTCTTGTTATTTATATACTTACAAATTCGAAAAAAAAAGTTTTTAACAAAAATAAACGCGTTAAAAATAAATCATCACAAGAGACATATTAGAATCATTCAAAGTGTTCGTCTATAATATGGTTTTTGATCGTTAAAGAAAAAATTGTTTTTTTTTTGGTGCCTTTGAAGATTCTTTTTCGTCAAGAAAAAATTTGCTTTCATTATCTATTTATTTTTTTTTTTTGGTTTTTTTTTAAAAATTTTTTATTTCATTTCAACACATATTATTTTCCTCTTTTCATTTTTAAATATCAAACTTAAAAAAGAAAAAAAAAGAAAAAAAAAATAGTGTTAAAGGTGAGCACATGAAAAAATTCCAAACATGTTTGTGATGATGAGGATTTTTTCCTGAAAAATCTTTACACGGTAGAAAATTATCGGAAATATTTATATAAAAAAAAAAAAATATTTTTGTGGGAAAATTTCAAATTAAGTAATTTATTTTTTTTTAAAGTTTTCGCCTCATTTCTTAATGATATAGTTCACAGATTGAAATGAGTATAATTTAAGATAAGCGCATTAGACAGCAATTTCTATATTTGTTAGTTAAAGATAATGTTCGGAAAGAAAAGCAATTGTTAGCCGTGTTTATAGTTTATGTGGGGAACTGCAGCCACTCGTAAATTATTTTCTTTGACCCCACAAACATCAAACCCCACATCTGAACCCCACAAATAATTGTCAAATTTTGCCATACTTCGCCGAAAAAGGATAAATTTCTTGAACATCTGTTTAGTTGAATGAAATTATCTATTTTGACGCGGAGATATCATCTTTTATTATCTTGATCAATATTTTTTATTATAAAGATCTAAAAAATCATGTTTTTTTTTATATTAAGGATTATATATATATATATATATATATAATAAATAATATATATATAATTTTATAATTTTAATTTTTATATTTAAATGATTTTCATGAAAAGATGTTCAGATTTAAATGAATTTCGTACATTATTAATTCTATCACGAAGAAAGAATATTTTAATTTCTTTAATTTTTTTTTTTTTTTCTTTAATATTTACTGATAAAGTTTAGGCGTAATTATTATTTTTGTATCAAAAAAAATTTAATTAATACTTTATACTATTTAAAATAAATAAATAAAAAAAAATCTTAAAAAAGCTTTTGCCGGAATAATCTTTTAAATACCGAATAATGAATAGAATGACACCCATTGTTCTTCGATAGCCAATAAAGTTGATAAATTGCTTATTTGACATATTTTTTTTTTTCGATGATATCATGTATTATTTAAGATTAGGGTGTCTCACTATTATTTGAGCGCAAATAATAAATCATCGTAAGTTTAAACGGCTTCTATTTGTCACCCCAATGCATATTAATTACAAAGTACGGATGTTTAATTTGGACGTGATAATCAATAATAGAAATACAAAAAAACTAATATACACTATTATCTTTATTTTGATACCTCATTTAAAAATTGTTACCAATTTTGGTCATTAACTTGACAGGTTTTTTGTTTATGTTTTGTTAAAAATATGAAAAGGTTTTTTTTTTTACCTTAAACCCAATAACTTGGAATTTTATATTAAACTAACCATTTCTTATTTCTTGTGAACAACAAATTGGAAAAAGGTTTTTTTTTTTTTTTTTTT